TTTGGCTAAACTTGTTAACCATGAAGGTATATTCTTAGTTGGATGTGGTAGCGCACACCTGTGATCCCAGCACAGGGGAGGCTAAGGCAGGACTGCCCTGAGTTCAAGGCCAGCCTTGGCTACATAGCAAGACTCAATCTAAAAAAATAAGTTAAAACTGGGTGATCAATTATTTTTAACGGGTAACCCTAACTCCAAATGAACACTTACATTTAAGATCTTACGAGTCTCCTCAGAAAATTTTGGGGGACAGAATCATAGAAATCACCATTACCTGTCTAAATATGGAGAATTCCCCAAATGGATTTGAGCAATCCGTACAGCATAAAAGAAGTGAAAATGAATACATAAAAAAGAAGCCTGTACGACAAAATTACAATAAACGTTTATTAAGCGATAATTTTCACAATATTTTTAATTCTGTTCTGAAATCGATCTACAAATTATCTCTACATAACACCAAAGCCAGTGATGTAATAAATAGGAGGAATGTATATATCACTTTGCAAAAAAATAAGCCAGTACATTTATATCTATATATTTGTGGAACCAGTTTCCCAAGGCGCGAGGGACTAAAGTGCACAGACACACGCGCGCGCCTCTGTCTCACACACACACACACACACACACGCACACACACTACGTTCAAGTCCAATGGCTTTACAGCGTGTCGAGTGGAACGCTCTATAAACCTTACGACCAGACACGCAGTAGGAACTGAACCGGGGTGCACTGCGGGCATCGGGTACTGCAGGGCTGTGGTCGGAACTGCTCACCTCGCAGGGCGTGCAGCGGGCGCTCATCAGTCACAGAAACTCGCCCTCCAGCTCACAGGGTGCGGAGAGGAGCGCACACAGATGCTGTGCCCAGGCCCCGGGAAGAGGACGCCGCCAGCCCCCGCGGGAGAATGGCACACGTGACAAACAGCTTGCGGCACCAAGGGGAAGGCGGGTTTGGCACAGCCCCGCCTGCAGGCAGAGGGACTGGTCACAGCAGATGCGAGCCCCGCTGACAGGCGTCCCACAGAAACAGGCAGGGCACTGTCGGGGCGGCCAGAGATCCGTAATTTGTCCCTCACTGGCAGGGAGCAAAAGACCAACTGACAGCAACCAAAAGGCTCACAGGTGATGGTGGGGTCAGTGTTTAAAAGGAGCTGGCTGGGCCAGGCATGGGGTGCCCACCTGCAACCCCAGCATTGGGGAGGCTGAGGCAGGAGGATGGTGAGTGGTAGCCCCACCTGGGCACTCAGCAAGACTCTGTCTGAAAATAGAAAGGGCTGGGGGCGTAGCTCAGCAGGAAGGCCTTGGGCTCGACTCCAGGACTGAAAAAAAGAGGTTGGGAGGGGCAGTGGACACCCACGATGGGTGCAAACCTGGCTTTTCGGTTAACTTGGCAGATTCCAACCGTGCAGAAGCAGTGGCTGCGCGTTGCCCTGAGGCAGCGGTCGCTCTTCAGAGGGGTCCAAAGCACGGCACCCAATGAGCGGGGCACAACAGTGTCCCCGTGTCCTTGGACCCCACACCGGCCCTGCCACGTGCCTCGGCCCTGTGCAAGCCGCACTTGAGCCCGGGATGGGGAGCCAGTGGCCCTGTCGCCGTCCCCACCACTCGGGACCCAGCGAGGATGTCCCCTTCTGTTGCCCGATCACCTCACTGCCCTCGGCAAGGCCTCTCCCACATGCCCGGTGCTCTGCCGGCGGCCTGCAGAGGTCCCCAGCCCCCGGCCCCTCATCCTGAGGCCTGGGAGAGACGCACAGCGCCTGGGCCAGGTGCGGAACTGAGCCGCGGTGCACAGGGCCCAGGCCCGTGTGACATCACTCTGGACACCGCCGTGCCCGGCCACACGGCCAGCATGGGGTGATCACCCCCTTCCTAGGCTGTTTTCTGCTGCTGGCAGAGCGAATGTGGACTTGGAGATGGAAACACCAGGAAGCGAACACTGGTCCCTCACGACTGACACAGGAGCTGACACCATAACACAATGTCACTCACACCCGGGGCATCGCGCTGGCATAATATACAGCCCTGAAGACAGAAAAGGTGAGACATGGTACAAAAATACATTTTTCCACGTACAAAAGAACAGAGATGGAGTGGGGCAGATACCTACACGCTTCTAAGGAATGGAAGAAAAAAAAATCTTTTACCATTTGGGGTTCAGAATACACCCAAAGCAAATGTATGCATTCAAATCCATTCCAAAACATGTTCACATCCAGTATCTGGAATATTTCTCAGAGCTACAAACAATGTGCCACCTGGAGCGACATTCATCGTGGACACCAGGTGCTTTCATTAAAAATGAAGGCATCTTGCTGCAGCTTGGAGCTGCACACCTGTAATTCCAGCTCCATGGGAAACTGAGGCAGGAGGATCTCAAGTGCAAGGCCAGGCTGGACAATTCAGTGACACTCTACTTCAAAAAAGTTTAATAAAAAGGGCTGGGGCTCAGGGGCAGAGCGCTTGCTTAGCTTAAGTGAGGCCCTGGGTTTTATCCCCAGCACCACAAACAAGACCAAATAGATCTTTTACTTGAGTACATCAAAGTGTAAAACTGGCTTCAGAGCCTACACTTGGCCAACTTAGAAAAAATCGGGACATGTCTTCGACAGTCATTTTTTTCTTTTTCCTTGAGACAGGGTCTCGTGTAGTCCAAGCCGGCCTTAAACAAACAGGGATCGTCCTGCCACCACACCTGCAAAACAGCAATTTAAATTAATGTTGCGGTCGGCCCAGCCAGCCTGGGAGGGGAATGGTGGGCATGGCCAGGGGCAGCAAGGACCCAGGACCCGGGCATCTGACAACGACAAGGCGAGAGGCCCCGGCTGTGATCTGATGGCCAGAAGGCCAACTGTCCCCCAGCCAACACGTACAGAGCAGTATGACCCCTCCACGTGGCACAGCCAGTGTGCAGAAAGAAAGAGGGCATCAGTGGCCTCCCCAAGATGTTTGTACCCTGCGCTTAAAAATAGATTCATCACCCATGCGCGCACATCTGTAATTCCTGCACTCAGGAGGCTGAGGCAGGAGGGTTCCTACAAGATCAAGCCAGCCTGGACTACTCAGTGAGTTCCAGACCAGCCTGCACTGCATTAGTGAGACCTGGCCTCAAAGAAACACAAAGGATTCATCTGTAATATAGAAACAACTGGGTCCAACCCAGAAATCATTTCTTGGAGTCTCCCACATGCACCTTAAAACACAGAAGCCTCAGAAACCTCTGCTCCCCTTCCCTGCAACCAGACAGCTTCACAGAGGTCTGCCCTGGAAGGACTGAGTCCCCCAGCCAGCAGCAGAGGGGCCCCGGGCTGGTCCTCACAGATGCGACCCAGGCTCCTGACCCAGCTCAGGGATGCGCTGGCCCGAGCAGCCCTTACTGCCTCGGCCTGTAGAGCCAGCGGCCCGGCTGCCCCCCACCCAGCCCCGCCAGGACCCCAGCTGCAACCCACGCTGTGTACCACTCTGCCCCCAGTGACCCAGCACTGGACAAAAAGTTCCTACCACAGACACTGCCGAAACCCAGGAAACCCACACAGGTCTCCCCCACAGCTGGCTGCACATGAGGGCGTCATAAAAGCAGCAACAGACTCAAGTTTCTCTTTCTTTGAGACAGGCCTCCAACTTACAGCAATCTTCCTGCTTCGGCCTCCCAAGTGCTGGGTTTATAGTGTGTGCTACCACGCCCAGCAACAGACTTAAAACGGGGTCAGCTGTGAGTGTTTATTTTCCTTTATGGGCCTGAGCCAACTAACAATAAAAACAACTGCCGGGTGTAATGGTGCACACCCGTGATCCCAGTACTCCAGAGGCTGAGGCAGGAGGATCATCATGAGTTCAAGGCCAGCCTGGGCCACATGGCGAGACCCTGTCTCAAAAAACCAACAAAACCAAATAGAACAAACCAATCAACCAACACTCTGGGGCACAGCTTGCCCAGAGGCCTAGCTAGCAACCAGGGCCCAGACAGCAGCTCGATTCCCAAATCCCTCTGGGCTGACCCAGGCAGCCCTTCCCACTGAACCCCAAGACCTTAGTCCTCTTTTTTCATGCTCCTTTTGGAGATGTGGAGGTTGAAATACATCAAAGTGCAGCCAGGCATGATGGCACAGGCCTTAATCAAGACATTCTGGGAAGCTGAGTCAGGAGGATCTCAGTCAAGCCCAGCTTAGGCAATTTAGCAAGACTCTGCCTCATAATAAAAATAAAAAGGGCTGGAGATGGAGCTCCGTGTGAAGGCTCTGGGTCCAATCTCTAGTATGGCAAAACCAAACCAAACCCAAAGACCTAAACCAAACCCCAAACCTACATCGAACCACAGAGGAAAACATGTTGGAGTGCCTGGAAATAACAATGGCTGGAGCTTGGAGAGGGACCTGGGGTCCAAGAGATTGGGCTCTGTCCCAAAGCCCAGCTATCTGCACTATTTTACTTCATTTTGATTTTGGAGATAGGCTCTTGCCATGTTATTCAGGCTGACCTTGAACACAAGGTGATCCTGCCTCAGCCTCCCTGGTGCTGGGATCACTGGCATGGGCCAGCTTGGCCGGCACCAACCGTCCACATTTAGAAGTGACAACATTCACTAAGTCACCGCCAAACCGAGGCGACGGAAAACAGCGCCCGGCTTGGGCACAAAGGCCACACACACAGACCCACCCCGCCCTCTCTATGCTTTCCTAAGAATGTCCAGTCATTTTCGATGGAAAATTCTAATAAACTCGACCCCATCTGCCTTTATTTAAAAATCTTACAAAAAATGTATTTAAATGTTTGAAAAATTAACTTTATGTTCTATGCACAGGTAAGTTTCTCCAACTGTACAGCTCGGATGGTTCTAAAAAATGTTCTCCCCACTGCGCCCCCTGGCGGCGCGGCTCGGCACAACCGTCGCGGTGTCCCTGGGTCATGTGGTTCGCGCACGGCTGGAACTCCCCCACCAGGCGCCCACCGGCTCAGCCATTTATTAAGATCGCTTGGGGTTTGGCGTTGCCGGTTTCTTCCTTTTCTTCTGCTTCTTGGGCGCGCGAGTCGGTGCGGGCGGATCCAGCCGGCTGGCTGACCTTCATTTGTCCTTGGGGCGGTCCAAGCTCTCCAGCACCCTGGTGAGGCGGATGTTGAGCAGCCGCAGCTGGTTCTCCAGGTGTTCCAGCTTCTCCTCCACGCTGGGGCCGCCTGGTGCCCCGGGGCTGCTGCTGCGCCAGTAGAAGCCCATGGGCCCCGTCATGAAGTAGACGGCGACCACCAGGCACAGGGGCAGCACGGCGCTCTCTGGCTCACCCTCATACTTGTGCAGGATGTACATGCACGACATGGAGAACAGCACCACACGCACCATCCAGAAGAAGCGGCCAAACATCAGCTGCAGGATGCTGAAGGTGAAGCCCAAGGTCAGGGACAGGAACCAGTAGGCCAGGAGGACGACACCGACCAGCAGCAGGGCCCGGACAGGGCTGTTGGACACTGAGGCGGGGCTCAAGTACTGCAACAGGTTGGACACTGCGGGACAGAGCAGAGGGCAGGGCCATCAGGTCACAGTGTGCCACCCACCCAGGCTAATCCAGGGCACACAGGAGCACCCCCGGAGGCCACCTGCCACGTCCCGTTGTCAGGGCACACTGCCCCCAATTTCCACAGTGAGAACACTGAGTGCAGTGTCTTTAAATTAAAGGACTTTCTCAGACTCCCTTGCAGCTACATAGCTAACTTTGGGGTAAAGAGAGGTGGCTGGAAGTGTCTCACAGTAGTTTCACGTTTTCTGTAAGAGTAACAGGAGTGGGCCTTTTACCTCCCCCTCTTTCTGCCTGCTGGACTGGGGATGCAATGGCTACAGCTGGAGCAGCCATCTTGGGCCATGAAAGAAGGGAAATTACATACCAGGGGAGGGGGATGTGACACCTGCCGGCCAGTCTCTCCCCTGAAAGAGGGGGTGTAGGGCTGGGGGGCCCAGAGGCCGGGGCTCTGCTAGGTTTCTGGTTTGCATTAAGCCACCCCACCTGGTGGCTTCCAACAGGCACCCGCCTTGCAGTTCCCCAGGCACAGGTTTAAAATCGGGGCTACAACACTTGTGGGGGGCCCTCGGCTTGTCCTACTTCCGTGGCCCCAGGGCTCTCTGCCTCTGTCTTTGTTTTTTGGTACCGGAATCAAACTCAGGCCCTTGCACTTGTGAGGCAGGCAGGGGGACCACTGAGCTAAATTCCCGGCCCCATCTGGCTCAATTTTTAAAATTTTTTTAAATTACTTTTTTCTTTTAAAATAAATTTTAGGGCCAGGGATTAAGCTCAGCGGTTCCGCCACCTCCTTCGCAAGTGCAAGGACCCAAGTTTGATCCCTGGTACCAAAAATAAGCAAATAAATAAATTTTCCATTATCCCTTCCCACTCTCAAGCCCCTCCCCTCTCTAGGTATAAAGATTTGTTTCTGTTTTTTCCTTTTTTTCTCGTCCCGTCCTTTCTCCCTCCCTCCTCCCTTGTTCCCCTCCCCATTTGAACACTTGCTTCCCGTTTCCCAATATTCATCTTATATCTCAGTCCTTATTCCACTTTCAGTTTCTCACACCAGAGAAACAATGCAGTACTGAAGCATGTGTGTCCAATTTATTTCACTTACGAGTGTGGTCTCAAGGTGCATCCATTTAGCTAGAAATGTCTGAAGTCCATCCTTCTTTATGGCAGAGTAGTACTCCGTTGTATAAAAACCCCACACCTTTATCCATTGATCAGTTGGTGGGCATTTAGGCTGTTTCCAAGATTTAGTTATTACAAACTGTGCTGCTATAAACATCGATGTGCATTATCACTGTAGTAGGATGCTTTTAATTCTTTTGGGAAGATACCAAGAGGAGGAATAGCTGGGTCAAATGGAGCCTCTAGTTTTAGTCCTTTCAGGTATCTCCACCTGATTTCCACAGTGGTTGCCCCAGTCTGCACTCCCAGCAGTGATGGAGAAGGGTTCCTTTCTCCCCACAGTCCCTCCAGCGTTTGTTATTGGTTGATTTCTTGACAGCAGCCATTCTTTCTAGGGTGAGGGGGAATCTTAGTGTGGTTTTAATCTGCATCTCTTGATGACCAGTGATATTGAACATTTTTTCATAAGTTTATTTGCTTTTGCCAATTCTTCACTGGAGAAGTGTCATTTCAGATGCCCATTTTTGCATTGTAGGTTCATTTTTTTGTGATTTTTAAAAAGTTATTTTCATTTTAATGCAGTACAAGAAGATACTTAGAAAGACCAGCCTGAACTACCTAGTGAGAACCCTGTCTCAAAAAATAAACACAAAAACAAAGAAAGAAAATAGAAAAGGCACTCTTCTTATTTCTATGAAAAAATAAAACAAAATTTTATAACAGAAAAATTCGAGAATAACAGTAGTTAATACACCTTGTACCATGGTCTTAATGGCTAAAATGTTACTCAAGTCATAGACAAGCCAGACTCTCTCTTCCAAAGAAGGAACAAATACAGGAACCAAACTTTCTTTTCAAAGAGCAAAAGAGGGAATGCTAGTATAGACAAAACGAATTAACTTATCATTTTGGTTTTTGGGGACAGGGCCTCACTATGTAGTCCACACTGGCCTGGGACTTGTGATTCTTCTGCTTCAGCCTCCTGAGTGCTGGGACTATGGGCACACACCATGCCCAGCCTGAAACGGCAGCTTAGGCAAGCCACTTATTTAAATAAAAAAGCTGGATGTAGTGGTGCACTCCTGAAATCCCAGCACTCCGGGAGGCTGAGGCAGGAGGATCATAATTGAGCCCAGACTGGGCACCTTAGCAGTGTGCTGAGACTCTGTTCCAAAGATTAAACAAAAGAGTTCGTCCTTCCCCAGGGACCCGACCCTGAGCCTTCCCACGTCCCACACCATGGGTACAGAGCCACACCATGAGAACCACGGCACACAAACGTCCAGGGCACCTACCGTCAAGGCCAAGGACATCCAGGAGCTCCGTCCACACCTTCCACACTGCCTCCAAGAACAGATCCACACCCAGCACGAACCTCTCAGTCAGCCTGGTAAGGAACTGCAGAGGCAAAAAGACGGTCACTCCGGGACCACCAGCCATTGCACCCAGGCCCCCGACCCACTCCACCAGGACGAAAAACAGGTGCCATGGGAGGAGCCGGCAGCCCAGGGGAGGAAGGCCAGCTTGACACTAGATTCTGCCGCCCCTGAGCAGGATCGCAACACCCAGACCCTCAGCCCCTTCCCCAGGCCCAGTGGCTTCTCTGGGGAGATAGAACCTGCAAAGTGGCTGCACAGTGCCTGCCATTTCCCCAATGGTCCCACTTCCTCCTGGTCAGGGTCTCTGGTTTCCTCTGTTTGGCTACTTGTTTTTAAAGAATGGGAGCTGGGGATTTAGCCTAGTGGTTTCAGCACCTGCCTTGCAAGCTCAAGGTCCTGAGTTCAATCCCTGGTACCAAAAATACATAAGTAAATAAAATTAAATTTAAAAAATAAAGAATGGGAGTTTCTGCCCCCAATCAGTTGCTCCGGGAGGTTGGCTTTCTCTGTCCGAGGATCTGAGGTCTGAAAGGGTTCTCCAGTTCCACGGTGACCAATCTCCTGGGGACACAGCCCATGCCTTACCCCAGGCCTTCACAGGCATCACTAGCTCTCTGAGCATTCTAGACAAGCAAGGGGTGGAGAAATAAGCATGCAAGGTACAGCCTCATTTTACCACCTTTCTTCTTTAATATGTGATATTTATTATTATTATCATCATTGTCATTATCGTTACTTTGGTTTTTTGAGACAGGGTCTCACTGTGTTTCCCAGGCTGCCCTTCAACTCAGGGCAATCTTCCTGCCTCAGCCTCCTGACTACTGGGGTTACAGGTGTGTGCTACTACATCTGGCTCTGTTAGTGAGTCGCGGATTAGCTTTAAGTTGCTATTTTAAGCCAAAAACATCGTAGAGCCCATATCCCTCCCGGCCACAGAAACACAGAGTGGCTCTGGGGACACCAGCTGGAAGGGCTGAGGTGACGCCGGTGAGAGGCCGGGAGCTGGGACACGTGAGGCAGATCCCCGGGACCAAGAGGGCGCAGGCTCCCCCGGGTGCGCCAAGCAGCCGGGCTCAGTGCCGGTGACGAGCAGGCACAGGCTGACGCCAGACTAACACAAGGGCCCAGACAGCCGCTTCGCACTTCAAGAGGAACCGGTCTGTCCTAGCCACGGTGGCCCCCCAGGAAGGTGAGAATCAAAGATGCAGATGGAACCCAGGCGTGGTGGCACATACTGGCAATCCCCACACTCAGGAGGCTGAGGCAGGAGGATCGCTGTGAGTTCAAGTCCAGCCTGAGCTACACAGTGAGACCCTGCTTCAAAAAAGCAAAAGCAACAGAACAAAACACAGATGAGCCTTATGCATCACACCAAGGGGACAGAAAGAGCGGCCACAACTGTGAACACGAAGTGTGCCCCCAGGACACCCAGACACAGAGGGCAGACTGGAGGAGGCCTGAGGCTGGACCAGGGGCGCGGGAGGACGGCTGGTGATTACAAGGTTGCTTTTCTGTGGTGACGCTGGATCGCGTTGGGGCTACAGTGAAAGCCAGCGGGTATGCAGTGAGACCTGCGTGACTCCTGAACCAGTGCAGGTCCACAGAGCCGCCGTCGTCCCTCAGCTCAGATACCCAAGCGCCTCACAGCACTGAGGCCCTGAAGGAGGCTCTGTCAGACTACAGACACCACTGGGTGGCACCGCACAAGCCCAAGGTCCTGAGTTCGATCCCTGGTACCAGGAAAAATACAATTAATTAATTAATTAATTAATAAGGACACAAAAACCAAATGTGTCTGGGAGTTGGGGTACGTCCCATAACCCCAGCTACTCAGGAGACTGAGGCACGAGGACTGGAAAGTTCCAGGCCAGCCTGGGCAACTCAGTGGCAGTGTTTCACTGGGACAACAGCCAGGCATGGTAGCACATGCCTGCAGTCCTAGCACTCTGGGAGGCTGAGGCCAGGAGGTTCTCAAATTCATACCCAGCCTAGGGAACTTACCAAGACCCTGTCTCAAAATTTAAAAAAATTAAAAAGGGTGGGGATATAGCTCAGGGCAAAGGCTTTGGTATAATCCCCAGCACCATGAAAAAAGAAAAACTGAAAGCCAAAAGCAACTGGCAATCCTTGGTCAGGTGTTAGATTTTTTTTTTCAAAGTAGCCAACAAAATTCAAACATGGACTGCAGATCAGAAATCATTACTGCTGGTCACGGTGGCACACACCTGTAATCCCAGCACTCACTCAGGAGGCTGAGGCAGGAGGACTGATGTGAGCTTGAGGCCAGTCTGGGCTACTTAGCGAGACCCTGTCTCCAAAACAAAAACAAATGGAAATATTATGATATGAAAGTTAAACTTCTTGGGCAGTGGTACAGCACAGCTCTGCAGAGGCATTAAATGTTGGCAGCTGACTTTCAAATCGTTCAGACAACAAGTGTTCAGAAGCCCGTACGGTGTGTTCAGGGGGTTGCTGAGTCTGGGAGCTTCTTCTGGGTGTTTAAAAATTTTGTGAAAAAGGAAAAGGAAGAGGACCTGTTCCCTTGTCTGCAGCGACATTTTCCCGGCAGTGTGGTCCCAGCCTGTGTCTTGCACGCCATCTGCTCGGGGGCTGTCAGGGAGCCTCAGGGACGGTCACAGGGGACGAAGGACAGGGTGACTTGCTCCAAGTACATTCTTGCAAACAGCATGAAATGCAAGATTTTTAAAACAGCAATGACAAAAGACACAAAGGGGGACGGCGGCCAGAAGAGACGGCGTCGGGGGGCACAATTACCCCAGACACAGAGTGGCCTGGCTCTGGGAGGGGACAAAAGAGGCGCAAGGAGCTGGAGCTGTGGCTTCACGTGGAGGCGGGGCAGGCGGAGTGACCGCTTCCAGCAGTCAGGCGGGAGGGAGAGGTGACCTTGAGGTGGCTGCCAGTGACCTTGGGGAGCTCGGGCCTGGCGACCCATCTCTAGATCTGCAGGCTGGTCACAGGCGCGCCTTTGCCAGGTGACAATTCATTACGCGAAAGCACAACGCAGCAATTAACTTCAACTCAAAACTGAAAAACCCCCATGGCCCCTTGAGTGAGTCAGGAGAGGCCAGCACTGTGGTCTGGCTGCAGGGCGCAGGGCTGGGTCTGAGAGAGGCGTCCCTAAAACCACCACTCTCCTCAGACCTTCAGGGAGAGCACAGCAGCTGGGGTGGTGGGGCACATCTGCGATCCCAGCACTTGGGAGGCTGAGGCAGGAGGATGGCTTTAAGTTCGAGGCCAGCCTGGGCTACATAGGGGGACCTGCTCAAACAAATAAACAAAAACCAAAAGAAGGCACAAACCAGGTGTCATGGCACAGTGCTTATAATCCAAGCACACAGGAGGCTGAGGCAGGAGGATCACGAGTTCAAGGTCAGCCTGGGCCACACAGCAAAAAGCAAACAAAAAGGCACAAAACAGAGTACACAGTACAACATGGACAAAAACCCAACCAGGAGGAGCGGGTCTACCTAGAGCTAAGTGCTCACATATGCTTCTGTGGAGGGAGTGGGAGATGGAGACCCGGTGGGAAGCAGATTTTTTTCATTTTTTAGTTATTTAGGGATAGGGTCTCGCTATGCAGCTCAGGCTGGCCTCAAACTCACAGCGGTCTTCCTGCTTCAGCCTCCTAAGTGCTGGGCTTGCAGGTGTGCACCACCACACCTGGACAGATTTTTTTAAAAATCTGAATTATTTGGAATCGTATTCCACACAACCATGGGCGAGCAGCTGCATCTGGGCCTGGCGTTCAGGGCGTTCCCACCCCACCAGTCCTGCCCTGTGCACCAAGACCCAGGTGGACGGGGATCAGTGCAGGAACCCTGCCCCACCCCACGTGCCCCACTGCTTCCTCCTCCAAGGCTCTGTCCCTCCCACCCCATGGCCTGTCCCTGGCGTCCCTCTGCACCCACCCATGCCAGGCCCTGTTCCCTCGCCATCCCCCTGACTCACTGACCCCCACTCTGGGAACTTCAGATTTCTGCAGGGTCCGAGTGCGGATCCTGGTATGCCAAGCTCAGGCAGAGATGCAACATTCCTACTCCAGGATTTCCTCATTGACAAACAGAAACTAAGAACACAGCCTCACAGCAGAGGCCAGCACACTGCACTGAAGCAAAAACTGATCCCAGCACTCAGGAGGCTGAGGCAGGAGGATCACCATGCTGAAGGTCAGATTGGGCAACGTAGAGAGTTCAAAGCCATCCTGAACTGCATAGTAAGATCCCACCTCAAACAAAACAAAACAAAACAATCCACAGATGCTATTACCTCACCCTGATTTACTTTAGTGATCTGTGAAATAATCTTGTCTTATTTATTTTCAACTTATTTGCTGTCCCAGGAAATGGTCTGGCTTGCGCGTTTCATTATTAGAATGTGTTTAATTGTTTTAAATTGCAGCAAAATACACCCAACTTTATAGATTTACCATTTGAACAGGAACAGTTCAGCCAGGTGTGGCACCGCACGCCTGTCATCCCAGCACAGAGGGTTCTGAGTTCAAGGCCTCTTTGGGCACCTTAGGGAGACTCTGTCTCAACAAGAAAAAAACACTGGGCTAGAGCTCAGCAGCTCCCAGCCGGCACCAGATTGAAATGGAAAAGTGTTAAAAACCAAGCTGGACATGGTGCTACACTCCTGCTACAGTTCCTCAGATCCCCTGCACCCGGGGACCTCTATGGATTTTCCTGGCCCAGCATTTTGTATAAATGGACTCCTGAAGCCCCCAGCCCCTGGAGACCCGTTGGGTTTCCTTGGTGTTTTTGAGGTTCCCCTGCACTGTCCTGGGTGTTGTGGCTCCATCACACACTGTGGCTCGGGTAACCACATTCCACTCACCCTGCGCCGGCCCGGACATCCGGGATGTGTCTGTGTTCTGGCTCCGGGGACAGTGCTGCTATGGACAACCCTGTACCCGCTGCTTATGATATCGCAGCAAGGGCTGAGAAGGGTCTCACTATGGAGCCCAGGCTGCCCTGGAACTCATGGTGATCCTCCTGCCTCAGCCTCCTAAGTGCTGGGATCACAAATGTGCATTATCACCCCCAGCTAATAATTTTTACTCAGTTCTCTGCGTGCCAGGGGTTGAACCCTGGGCCTTATGCATGCTAAGCACTTGGCCTATCACTGAGCCACACGCCCACCTCAATAAATTTCAAATGAATGGTCACCTTCCTGCCAGACAAACCTCTCATCTGCAAATATTTCCTGTCACGGATTGCACAATCATTCCGTCCTCGTGCGGTACACCCCACCAATCCCATTCCACTCTCCCACTTTTCTCCTGCAATTGGCCCAAGGTCACACTATAGAGAGGCGGAACTGGGATTCAAACCTCTGTCTGTGGGCCAGCTGTGCCGGAGCTGCACACAGGCAGGTTTCAAACAAGTTCCAGATTATACAGCGTGGGTTTCTTCAAACACTCAAACATCACCAGCCACAAGGCAGGTGAGGTTCCATTCAGTGAAACAGTGAGAGAATTACAGCTGCTAGCACCTCACTTTTTCTTTCATTAAAAATCAATCAAGCCGGGCATGGTGGCACACGCCTGTGATCCCAGCACTCGAGAGGCTGAGGCGGGAGGATCGCTGTGAGTTCAAGACCAGCCTGGGCTACACAGTGAGTTCCAGGTTAGTCTCAACTACACAGTGAGACCCTGTCTCAAAAAACAAAACAAAACAAAAAATCAATCAATCAATCGAGGCACTCTGGAGGCTGAGGCAAGATGATTGATAAGGGTTCAAGGCCAGTTTGGGCTACACAGGGAGACCCTGTCTCAGAAAAAAACAAAACAAAAATCTCAAAACACGTGGCAGCTTTTCTGCAAATCCAAAGTATTCTGAGCTCTCTTGAAGACACAAACCTTGCTTTACCCCTGGTGGCCAGAATACAGCTGTTGCTCTGATATCAAGAGGTCAAAATCCTCCAATGTTCCTTCCGCCCTCAGGGTTGCAACCCGGACCTGCCCCCCACCCCCGCACCCCCTTCCCCTGCACCCAGCACAAAGGGCAAACTTTGCTTTGCTCTCAAAAGGCTTCCAGTGGCTGGGGAGTGGAGGCAGAGGAGCGGTGGGGCTCAGAGCCACCTACAGAGAACCGCACTCACACTTCCTTACTGAGGAAGGCACCGGCCCTGCCCCCACCCCAGGACAGTGTGAGCAGAAGCGGGTTTTCCTGACAAAATGACCCATTTTCATCGGACCCAATCATCGAGCCAATCTGACTTGGGTGTTGTTTTTATTTTTATTTTTACTTTTTAACTTTTTGCGGCGCTGAGGACTGAACCCAGGTCCCTGTGCACGTTATGCAAGAGTGCTCTGGCACCAGCTACATCCCCAATCCCTTTTTTTACTTGTAATTTTGAGACGGAGTCTTGCTAAGCTGCCCAGGCTGGGCTGAAACTTTTGATCCTCCTGCTTCAGCCTCCCAAGTGGCTGGGTTGACAGGAGTGTAGCACCACGTCCAGCTTGGCTTCTACCATTCTTTTCCTTCTCCATTTCAAGGACCAACAAACTTTTTCTCTAACCCCTGGAGTCCTCAGCAGGGCTCAGCGATATGATTTTGCACCCTAGCCAGGAAATGCGAAGAGCTGACACCACAGCTGGGCCTGGTAGCACACGCCTGTAATCCCAGCGCTTGGGAGGCTGAGGCAGAAGGATCGCTGTGAGTTCGAGACCAGCCTGGGCTACATAGCGAGTTCCAGGTCAGTCTCAACTACATAGTGAGACCCTGTCTCAAAAACCAAAAAAACAAAGCAAAAAAAGCAAAGAGGTGACCCCAGTTTGGACAATTCTGGTACCGACTATTCCTCACCAAACCTCATCATGAAGGAGGCCTTACCGCCAAGCCCATTTAACAGATAAACCAACCGAGGCTTTATGAAATGAACCCACATGCCTAAAGCCACCCTGCTTCCGCGGGAGAGCCCCGACTTGACCCCCAACTTCTCCAACTCCAGAACCCCAAGGCCGGCGGCAAGCAAAGGAATTAACAGGGTCCGAGACAGCTAGGGCATCGCGTCACCACCGGCAACCGACCGTGGCCACGAACTTCTCCTTTCTCAGGACCTCGTCTTGAGCGTCGGCCCCGGAATGGCGCACCTTCCCGCCCCGCTCCAGACCGCTCCCCGCTCTCATAGGGTACACGACGGCCTGCGG